AAAAGCCCTGCCTCTAAGCCTCTAACCAGATTAAAAAAAAAACAACCTCGATTTAAATATTTTTAATATCTATGTGTATTGTATTGATCTATATTTATACAATAGATATGTTGCATAACAGATATTAAAGTACATTACCATCTATCCATATATTTTTCATATTGAATATTAACCTGCTTGTCTAGATTTAGATAACTTGTATTTATTTCTTTTTTATGTCTGCATATATATATATATCTTCCTATAATTATTTCTTTATTATAGATTTCTATATTTTCATTTCTATTTTAAACAATTAAAAGCCCTGCCTCTAAGCCTCTAACCAAATAAAAAACAATTAAACCCTTGATTTAAATGTTTTTAATATCTATTTCTATAATATTGATCTTCTATATTTATACACACAGATATAATGCATATCAGATATTAAAATATATTACCATCTGTTGAGGACACCATCTATCTGTATATTTTTCATACTGATTATTAATTTACTTGTCCAGATTTGGATTACTGGTATTTATTTATTTTTTAAGGCTGTATATATATACATATATATCTCCCTATATTTACTTCTTTATTATAGATGTGTATATTTTCATTTCTATATTATTTATTTTAAATACCATGCCTCTATCCAAATAATAGCCAAAATTCCCTTGATTTAAATATTTTTAATATTTATTTATATCATATTGAACTTCTTTATTTATACACATAGATATAATACATAACATATATTAAAATATATTACCATCTATCTGTATATTTTTCATATTGAATATTAACCTGCTTGTCTATTTAGATCATTTGTATTTATTTCTTTTTTATGGCTATATCTATCTATCTATCTATCTATCTATCTATCTATCTATCTATCTGTCTATCTATCTCCCTATATTTTAGATGTGTATATTTTCATTTCTATATTATTCATTTAAATGCCATGCCTTTAACCAAATAAAAAACAAAAATCCCCTTCACTGAAATATTTTTAATATCTATTTCTATCGTATTGATCTTCTATATTTATACACACAGATATGTTGCATAACAGATATTAAAATTTATTATATTAGCATCTACCCATACAGTTTTCATACTGAATATTAATCTACTTGTCTAGATTAAAATACTTGTATTTATTTCTTTTTTATCTCTCTCTCTCTGTCTATATATATATCTACCTAACTCCCCTATATTTATTTTTACATGTATATATTTCTATATTTCTCTTTCTAATGTTCTGCTTTTTGAAATTTGCATTTCTTTCCCTTGGAAACTCTCCCAATTCATTCAGCTAACACGTCAGAATGACAAAAACATAAAGCCCGAGCGAACCCCGAGTGCAGAACGCGCTCGTCTCTACGGAACTCTGGCACAGACATTTCTCTCGGTGCATTTTAATACCTCAGGGATGCACAGATGTGTTTTATACACTCCCATTTTACAGGGAAGTAAGAGGTGGAAAGACAAAACTCACTTTCTTAACCCTAAGCCATTCCTGACATAACAAAACCCTAAGGACGGAGTGCACTGAGAGGGGGTTTCTTTCCAAGGGAATTTAGAGAGGTCAATTCCTGTTCCTTGCCAATACCTACCGTGAAAACCAGACCAACTCCACAGGTTTTTGGATTCTGCATCCAGCCCTCCCAGGCAATTTCCTGGCAGCTCGGGGTCCCCTCTGGGCAAGGGTACCCAGCACGAGCCCTCCCCATTCCCCGCTCAC